AGGTACCTGGCTGTAGGTCTATAGTGAACTCGACTTTCCTGTCTGCTGGCAGACCGGGCAGTTCATCCGGAAGCATATCTGGGAAGTCTCGGACTACCGAAATCTCTTGAATACAAATTTTCTTCTTAGGCTTGCCTTGTACCACATTCGGGTCGGCGTCGGCATTCTGCTGGGTAAGGTTATAAGCTCTGCCCTGGATAGGAGGCCTTCCTTGATTTTGGTTTCTCGGGCATTCTCTTGCATAATGCTGGGCACTGCCACATATGCGACAGGTGTTGTTGAGGCGGTAGCATAGTCGGTCCCCGTGATCTCTGCCGCAGTGCTGACAGATCTTCCCACGTGCTGCCCCTGGAGCCTGAGGAGAGGCCTGGATAGCTGGTCTGGGCCTCTTATTTGGTTGGGCAGGCGCAGTAGGTGCTGGCTTGCAGAACGGAGCTGAGGGTCGGAAACTCCCCGTTGGCTGATGATGGGTGTTGAAGCTCCTTTCCACGATCTTTGCCTTTGCTAGAACTGCTAAATATGTCTTGAGCTCCAGCACCAACAAGTGTTGCCTGATCTCCGGGCGGAGGCCCCAATAGAATCTCCTAGCCTTTCGGCCCTCATTCATCAATGTCTCTGGGGAGTATCGGCCCAGCTCTAGGAACTTACGAGCATATTTCGATACTGTCATGTTTTCCTGGACCAGTTGAACAAACTCTATCTCCTTTAGGTGTCGGATGTGCTCAGGGGGATACTCCGCATGGAAGGCCACTAAGAACTGCTCCCAAGTGATTGGTGTAGGCAGGGTGGTCTGCTTGAGCTCCCACCAAGGACCTGCTTCCCCTACTAACATGTAGGAAGCAAGGGCAGCTCTCTGCTCAGGAACCACTCCCAGGGTCTTGAAAGCTCTCTCCGTCTCTGCCAGCCAGTACTGGGCATCTTCAAAAGAGGATCCCCCTGCAAAAGTGGAAGGGTTTAGTCTCCTGTACCTCTCTATGTAGCCCGGGTTGATCAAGGAAGGAGCTGGGTCCGTGGAAGAGGGACTGGGCCCAACTGGGGATAGACTGAGGGGCCCTGTGGTGGCACCGGATTGTACTGTGGCAGTGCTGGGCAGTACGGTGGCTGAGGCACTGGTTCATACTGCGACGGTGGTGCCGGGTGGTACTGTGGTGGAGCAGGCTCGTGCTGGGGTGGCTCGGAATCCGCTTGCTATAGCGGTGGCTCAACCCATGGTAGTGGGGGAGGTTCGGGTAACTCACTTCTCTCCTCTCGACCTTGCTAGGCGGCCATGATCCTTTCCAGCATCTCGAATATTCTGTCCACATCGTCCCGGAACGAATCATCCCCGGATGCTCGGTTTAGTGGGGGTCTTCCTCTCCTCATTTCTTTACACCTGTATTTTACACGGAAGAGTTGAGTAACGATTTATCGGTGGGTATTTCTCTAAACATTATTGTGTAAGGGATGAGTCCGAGGAACGCGGCTCTGATACCAATTGTAACAGCTTCGGAATTTAAATGAAGATGTATGTATTAAAAATCTTAAATGCAGAAGTGTAATAAAAATTTTGATTAACATCCCTTACACAATAATAAAAAAAGTACTCAAAACATGAAAGAATAAGCTAATTAAAAGAGATACTCCAAATAAAAACTATAAATAGAACTATAAAATCTTTAGGCGTCTAACTCGCTGTCTTCCTGCGGAACGGGCTCGGGAACTCCGTCTTCCTGATCTGAAATGGTTAAGTAAGGAATGAGCTACACTAGCCCAATAAAGACATAACACTATCTCACTGCCACAGGAGTAAAGGTCGGTAGAAAACAAAAATAACCAATGGAGCATAATTTATAACAAACTCATTTATTAACATAAAAACCTTTACTGTCCACTTACCTCGGTGAGATTCATGAAAATAATATATAAAAATAATAACATCATAACCATCATAAAATCATATCGACTTTGTAACAGAACACATGTCATACTTTTGCACTTCAACAATCAGACAATAAATTTTCTCTTTTACCAGCCTACTAGTATCCATGGGGATCCATAGGGGGTCCCCGCTACACGTGAACTATTAACATTAATAACCTGATTCTAGGGCCGTCCCCATACCCCGTCCGGTATGGGCGCCAAAACCATAAACCTCAATACCCCGTCCAGTATGAGGGTGAAACAGGCCGTCCCCATACCCCGTCTAGTATGGGCGCCAAAACACATAAGGTCTCCATACCCCGTCCGGTATGAGAGACAACGTTCCCGGTAGAGTTCCCTACGGACTCGGTCTGTCCACCATCTCCCAAGATATCTAGTCAGGCTGTCCACATTATCCATTTATCAATTCACATAACCTTTTTACCCTTTTCCTTGGTCTCAATCATTCAATCATACACAACATGTAAACCAGTAATTGACACCAAACAAGACAATACAGTATCGGGTTCACCATAATACAAACCATAATAAAAGAAACAATAATTCATGCATACGAGACCATAAAATAAATACATCAAATATCATACTGTATTTAATACTGAAAAATGGATCAAACAATAACTGACTAATAATATATCAGATTCGGGCTCCATTGGCAACCTCAATCAATTATACACATCCATTAATTCACGAAAATACTGTTTTATCATTTATTGAACTTTAATACCGTGATAGGAGGTAGGGTGAGAGATCCTTACTTATTTTGGGGTCTGAAATCGGCTCTACAGTGCACCTACGGGCTGTCCCTAAATTCACTAAATTTTTTCCAAGAAACTGAAACGCACTACTAGTACCTGCACGTATTTCAAAAAATCTCAAATCAAACCTAGGGCCCCTTTCGGCCAATATCAAAATTCTGACATGGCGGCTCTGCCGTGCTCCGGCAACGGCGCCGCCGCCTGCAGTGGCCATCCGCCTCGGGTTGGCCATTTTTGGCCGTTTTCAGTCGAATTCGGCCAAACTTACATTGGTTCCTGCGATAAAACTACCCTAGGGCCCTCGGTGGGCTAAAAAATCACAAAAAACCGAGACTTACCGGCGGCGGTGCTCTCGGGTGCGGCGACTTCTCCGGCGCGATTCGCGTTTTGATGTTTTGCTCCGGTCAACCTGTAGAGAAAAAGATGGTGATCACAGTGGTAGAAAAATTGCATCGAACGGAGACCGGGAAGGGTCTCATTGGAGGCAAAAATAGAGGGAAGTCGCGGCGGCGCCGCTGGACTTCGGTGATATTTTTCGGCCGATTGGCTGGTGGTTTGGCACCGATTTGGCCATAGGCAAAATTAGCATCGAAAAACGAGCCAAGGGGAGAAAATTTACTTCGTTTGGCGGTCGAAAAATTTTCCAGTGCGGCGGCGGGTGGCGGCGGCTGGCTCCTCCGGCATCTGGTTCTTCTTCTCCGGCGAGACACTGGCGGCTAGGGTTTTGTGGTCGGGTGTGGGTGAGGTTATTTATACTCTTCCTCTTTTAATCTCAACCGTCCATCAAGATTTAATCTGGACCGTCCGATCGTGATTTATTTGGGATTAAATCTGGACCGTCCATCGCGATGCGATCTAGGCCTTCCGTGCCTGATTGAATCTGTGTCGTCCGTACGCGTGAGATCTGGGCCGTCTGTGCGCGCGGGAACGGATCTGGGCCGTCCGATCGCGCGCACGTGGATCGCCCACGTGGCCCCGTCCCGCGTCAGCGTTCCTTGCCACGCGGCGTGTCCTGGTTGGCTGGGGCTGCTAACTGGGCTACTGACGTTGCTCAATTTTTCTATATTGTGTTTTGACCTCCGGTTTTCGATTTTCTTTTCAAAAATACCCCCAAAATTCAAATTTTCACCCATTTTTTTCAAAATCAATTTGAATTAAGCCCAAAAATAATTTTACCATATTTTATCATTATTATTATTTTTATTTTCATTAAATTAAATTAAATTAAATTAAAACCTTATAAATTAAATATATACAAAATTAAATTAAAATTTTAATACAATTTAAAATAAAATAAATTAAAAAATAAAAAAATTTTTTTTTTTTTTTTGGGTGTTACATTTAACAAGTCAACAAATCCACTTATTGGCATATGCTTGTCCTGTGGGCTACCTCACTTAGCAAAAATTTATGGTAAGAATGATATAATGTTCAATAAAATTTACTGTAGAAGCATTTTTAATATAAAATACAGTATTGTGTTTAATTAAAAATGTAATATTATGTTTAATAAAAGATGTAATATTATTTAATTAATTTTATCAAAGAATTAGTGTTAAATATTGAAATGATAAAAAGTTATGTAATAACTAAAAATATTATTACAATTATCTAAATAATATTAAATATTTCCCTTAAAAATTGTTCTAATACTTTAAATTGTCTCTTAAAAATAATTTGTTTCTAATATAAATATTGATTTTAAGTTTTTATTATTTATTTTTAAAATAAAATATTAATAATTATTGATAGTAAATTATTATTATATTTTTATTTTAAAATATCAGTTAACAAAATAAACTTACCACAATTAAAAAATATATTCATAAAAATTATTATTCACCGTTACACGACAAAACATATCTCACAATTATCTATTTGTTGATTATGATGTTTTCTTTTAATTAAAAATCAAACACAAATTTATATTTTACTTCAAACATTTTTGGTTTTTGCTTTTAGCATGGCTAAAAATAGAGGTAGCAACCAGCTACAAAAATGGTTTTTATGGTGTTTTGAGATTGTTTATTTTAGACTAATAAGTAATTTTAAGCATTATGTTCTAATTTTGTAACAAAAATATTCATTAAGTTCTTCAATGTAAAAGTAAAAAGTGGACACTCTTTATTTTAAATTCTCATTTTTTTTAATCTAATTAATCTACTTAAATACATTTACATCCACTTAAAATTAATTATACGTATATAATAGTATAAATTATAAGTATTTATGATAAACATATTTTTTATTTTTTTTTTAAAAACTACTATTTATTTTTTATAATCACTATTTTATCTAAACTAATATCTTCTTCGTAAAAATAGCATATCAAAGACTGTAGTATCATCTTACAGAATCGTCAGTCACCTTTTTCTTTCAAGTCACGGAGAAGAAAGGCGCACCCGCCATGCAATGTCACCATCCTTTCGTCGACTACCTACTCTATCTGGCATCAGACTTGCAGTAGATCCTGTCGCTGCGCACGATGAGTTTCAGGCATAGTTTCCCTAAAATCTTCACATCTTTCATCCACGATGTTTTAAATTTCTCTATACTTTGTAGGTGGTGATAATCAGTCATGGTGAATGGATTTAACAGAGATTAGCCTGGAGGGAAGAGAAAATGGATTTAGGTTGAGAAGGAGAAGAAGAATGTTAGAAGGGTATTAAAGAGGAAAAGTTTATTGCAAGCAAGAGAAAATTTTATTACTCAAGAGGAGATTGGAGGTGTTGATATTTGGAAATGGCGGTGGCAGTGTTCGCTCTCTGATGAAAAGTTATTAATTTTTTAATTATTCAAATAGCAGAACTCAAATGGAAATGGGGTTTGTATGATATCCGAATTATAATAGACTGCACACCAGATGTTTGATAATTTGACGTTGGCTCATCATCTGTGTTATTCTCCCGATGTATTTTAAACGGCTCTTCCCTGCAAGAAAACTTTTTAACACCATTAATCAGCAAACTCGATCCTTTGTCCGAGACCCTTTCCCAAATAAGGTCATACACTACCTCCACCGGGCTAAACTCGTTGATTCTATTCGACTCGCTCTCCGTTCCAACTATCTTCGATCTGTTACTGCACTCTTCAATCATCGCCTCCTTGACTCTTTTATTGTCACTCACGCACTTCGTTCTGCTCCCTCCGCAGAGTCTGCGCTGTTTATTTTTGACGCGCTCAAGTCAAATCTGCATTTTTCACATAACCAAGCCACCCTCCATGCTCTTGCCGCCGTGCTCGCCAAGTTTCACCGAACTGATGAACTGAAGTCCTTGATTGGTGATATTAATGCTGGCACGTTTGGCAAAGTTCGTGTTAGCTTCATGAACCTAATGAATTGGTATGCTGCCAGTGGGGATTTTGAATCAGTTCTAGCTACATGGGATGAATATAGACGCTCACAGAAGCATGTCTGCGCTGAATCTTATAACATTGTGATGCACCTTTACCTGCGGATTGGAAAGAATTCTGAAGCTGTGGAGACATTCTATAGGATGATTGAAGAAGGGTTAATCCCAAATTCTAGGACATATACAATTATGATAGAACATCTTTTAAGTTCAGGAAAATTGGATTCAGCAATGGAGGTGTTTAACATGTTGCCAGTGATTAGAATCAAGCGAACTTTAAGACAGTTTTCTATTTTCGTAGAAAGATTTAGTATGGCCAGACGGTTTAAGGAGGTCAAAACTTTACTTAATGAAATGAAGGCCGAAGGGAAGTTTCCGAGTCAATCAATGCTTCTCTCTTTGCAACACATGCAGGAGGCAGGATTTGTCCAGGAGACAGATGAATATCTCAGAAAAATGTTGCCAGATGGGAGAATCAAGAATATCACTGGGTATTGTGTGGATAGCAGTGATGAGGATGAAGATCAGTATGTGGAGGAGAATGGTAATAAGTCCGATGTAGATGTACCTGGAGTTCAGTTGAAACCATGGTTGGATCCAAAAGCTTTGGCAAATGCCTTGAAAGGGTGGAGCCGTGATGCAGTATCTGCCTTAGAGGAAGCTTCATTAGTCTGGACAAGACGCTTGGTTTGCAAGGTCCTTAGGAACTTCAATTCACCAGAAACAGCTTGGAATTTCTTCTGTTGGGTTGCTTGTCAACCAGGATTTACTCATGATGCTTATACAGTGCAAAGGATGGTGGCCCTTTTAGCACGCCATGGTCATGTTGAATTGGTTGATAAACTAATTTCCAAAGTAAGAAGTGAAGGGATGAGGTTGCCTTTAAGCACTATCCGGTTGATTATTGACTTTTATGGAATTTCAAAGAAGGCAGACGCTGCTTTGAAGGTCTTCATTGATGATAGAGCACTCTGTGGCCCCATATCAAGATTCGATCAAATGCTATTGTACTCTTCTCTCCTAAGAACATTGACAAAATGTGGGAGGAATTCTGATGCCTTGGAAATGCTAGATAAGATGATTTTAGATGGGATTATAGCAGATAGCCAGACATTTTGTGGATTGATGCATCACTTTGCTTTACAAGGAGATATTAAAACTGTACAGAAACTATTTTCTATGGTTAGACAGACTGGTATTGAGCCTGATGGCTACATGTTTAAGGTTCTGATCCAGGGTTACTGCAAATGTGAAAGAGCTGCTCTTGCATGGAGAGTTTTTGAGGAAATGAAAAGTTCAAATTTGATGCCTGATGCTGCCACAAAAGAGTTACTTGTGAATAGTCTGTGGAAGGAAGGCAAGCGAAGAGAGGCTGCTGCTGTGCAAGAGAGTGAGGAGATAAATTGTATCATTCCATTGACATTACGCGGTCATATATGGACTGTGAGTTCTGCAGATCTCACCAGAATTTATAATATTTATACCAGTAGTTTTACATCAACAAGTAGTTAGACGATCTAGTGTCAAGGATCATTGGTTACAGTCTTCAGTTAAAAACATAGTGAATTAATCTCTACTTCTTTTCTGCACTTGAGATCTATGATTTTTTCCTTCTTTTCCTGTCATATTTTATCCATTTTCTCTGGATAAAATGGTAAGCCAAAATACTATGACAAACAAGATTAGACGATTAGATAAACTGTTGGCTGGCCCAATTATTTATTTGGAGGATTAATGTTGAGTCAGTTGAAATATACACTGGCAATTTTCATTTGTCTTGTCTGTATCTGTTTGCCCTCTTCCTTACTGGTGAAGAAAGACTAATAAACTTTTAGAAAAAAGTTTGTTAGTCTTTTAATGTTAAATTTTAATTTTTGAAAATTACAAATCTTAAATGTTTAATATATAAACATGAAACAATTAGTGTTTACAATTAAGAGCTCAGTTTATAAAATAATTAGTTATGGTGTGCAAAGAGTTAGCTTGAATACATTACTGCTTAAAAAGAATAAAGAATTTGTACTATCGTATTCCACTTTGTTAGTCTAGGTCACCATCATTGATGATGTAATAGCCAATAAGTGCATGAAAAATAAAAAATTTATATGTATATATATATATATATATATATATGCTGGTAGGCGGACTTTTTCTTCAGAATTGGGAGGTGGACTATTTGCCGTCTCTACTGGTTATTGTATTAAAATATACCTATCCATGTCAAAGATTCTTGGCAGAAAGGGAAATATGAGCAACTAGAGGAAGTTTTGTCCAGTTTTACCTTCTTTCTATAAAGAAACACTTCCCATATGAATATAATTAGGGCGTTCACATTTTTAATTCATTATTATTATTATTATATAAAAAAGTGCCTTTTGAGAGAGAAGCAAGCTTTGAAAAATAATCCAAATTAAACCCAGTTTACCAATGCCTGTATAATTTCTTTAACAAAACCATCTCCCATCAATCATAATTGATAGGCACTCCTTCAAATATCTTTAATCTAAGTACGCCTACTAGATTGCTAAGAAACCAGACCAGCAATGGCAGCTACTTTGTCTTCTCTGCTACCCTGTCTGACCCTGTTTACCCTTCTTTTGTTCCTCTCCTCCTGCCATAACACAGCTCTAGCTCAGGACAACATGAAAACAAACTTTTCTTGCTCAGAAGATTCAAATCAATCATGCCCAGCATACGTTGCATATTTTGCCCGACCACTGGAATTTATGAACCTGATAAACATATCTGATCTGTTTGGTGTCAGTCCTATATCAATTGCAAGGTCTAGTAACTTAGTTTCTGAGGAGAACCCTCTGGTTGCAGGTCAACTTCTACTGGTTCCTATACTTTGCGGTTGTTCAGGAAACCATTACTTTGCCAACATCACTTACCAGATCAAGAAAGATGACACCTACTTCTTGGTTTCCACCACTTCCTTTGGAAATCTCACAAATTGGCATGTAGTGGAAAAAATGAATCCTTCTTTCAATGCAACCAGCCTGCAGATCGGCGTTCAAGTGGTTTTCCCTGTGTTCTGTAAGTGCCCTTCTAAAACCCAGTTGAAGAATGAATCAATTGAGTATTTTATTACATATGTTTGGCAACCCAACGATGATATTAGCCATGTGAGCACTAAGTTTAACGCATCACAAGTTCATATCAGAGCTGAAAATAGGTACGAAAACTTTAGTGATGCAACAGATTTTCCTATTCTGGTCCCTGTTTCACAGTTGCCAATCTTATCCCAACCTGACCCTATTCCTAAACAAAACAAATTGAAGCACAAGTGCGTTATTTCAGTTTTTGCAAGTGCAGTGTTCACTCTGTTGATTTCCATTTTCCTATATTCTTTTATCTACACATGTCATTTGCGCAAGAAGAAGGGCTGTACTAGCTGCTCTCTGGATTTGGTTCAAGCAAAAGAGCTTAAAAGAGGCAAGATTATACAGGATAAGCTGCTGCCTGGAGTTTCTGGCTACCTAAGCAAGCCAATTATGTATGAAACAAAAGCAATTATGGAGGCAACATTTAATTTTAATGATAACTGCAGGATTGGAGGATCAGTGTACAAGGCCACCATTGATGGGGAGATCTTAGCAGTGAAGAAAGTAAACAAAGACGTGACAGAGGAACTGAGGATTTTACAGAAAGTAAATCATGCCAATCTGGTGAAGTTGATGGGTATTTCATCTGACTATCATGGTCATATATTGTTGGTTTATGAATATGCTGAGAACGGATCACTGGATAAATGGTTGCACTCCAAATCTTCATCATCATCTTCCTCTTCTTCAGATCCTGTGAGTTTCCTCACATGGAATCAAAGATTAAACATAGCACTAGATGTGGCCAGTGGGCTACAATACATGCATGATCATATTGAACCCAGCCTTTTTCACCGAGATATCAATACAAGCAATATACTTCTGGACTCCAGGTTTAAGGCCAAGATATCTAACTTGTCAATGGCTTGGCCGGCAACAAACTGCCTGCGGCGCAAAGTGGATGTTTTCGCTTTCGGTATTGTTTTGGTGGAGTTGCTTTCAGGAAAAAGGGCTATTCAGACGAAAAACACAGGTGGGGTGGAACTGTTGTGGAAAGATTTAAGAGTAATCTTGGAAGTTGAAGAGAAGAGAGAAGAGAGACTAAGGAATTGGATGGATCCAAACTTGGAGAGCTTTTATCCTATTGATAGTGCTGTTAACTTGGCTGCATTAGCTAAGGCGTGCACCTTGGACAGGGCTATGGCAAGGCCAACTATGGCAGAAATTGTCTTCAACCTCTCACTTCTTGTTCAAGCATCTTCTGAAACTTTTGAGGGATCCTCCGTTACTGATGCAGAAGATCATCAGTTGATCAGTCGGGTAAAAGCTCGTTAATAACTGATGTGATGGTATAATTTATAGGCCAAAGCAGTAAGCATGTCCCTTTTCTTACCATTCATATGACAAAATCTGTTAAATTAATAAAAATACATATCTTAATTGTTGTTCTTGGGTTCAAAGATATTCATATCTATAGAAGCACATAGTAACATATGCAAGCATATAATCTATATAATAAATAATATATATACAAAAGAATGTCAATTTATATTATTAATTATTTAATAAGTATGCCCTATTATTTTATCGTTTTACCTACTCAAGCTAGTTGTGTTGGTGCAAACTTAATCTTGAAAACTAAATCTTGAAAAATAGTCAAGAAAATGAGTTTTAGAAAAAAATATAATTGTCTGATTCAATAAGGATACAAAGACCAAGTTAAGATTGTCTTGAGTAACATGGTGCAAACAAAGTGACAAATAATTTTAATGTATTTGATATGCTTATGAAAAATATCATTTTAAGCAATATGAACAACATATAACAATATTATTTAAGTTTTTGAATTAGCACGGAAGATAGTACTCAAAGAAATTGAACAAATTACGCAAGACTTAGGAGGGTGTCCATAAGAAGAAAAACAAATTGACCACTTAGATTTAAGTTATTTTTATATTTGTTCATCTTTTACACAATTAGAAAACTTATGGTTAAAGGTTTAATAAGATTTTTTTTATAAAATCTTTATTTTTTAGTTCAGTTGTAGTCCCACCACTTCATGGTATTGATTGTAGGCATGTTACTGCCAACAATATTCTAATTTTCCTTTAGGTCAATCGCTTATTACATCTCATGTAACGTGTCCCCTATGTAGTTATGAAATTATTGCTATTCATTTTTTGTATAAGTAGGAGAAAGAGAGGAAATAACTATTGTATAGAGAGAAGAAAAACTATAAGTTAAAAGTAATATAGTTATAAATAGAGTAAAAAAAAAAGCCAACAAAAATTACACATGGTGATAGATAAAGTAGGAGAAGTAGTACTAAAAAAGATAACCTGTTTAAAAAGGACTTTAATATCATTTATTGTAACCTGATGAAAGCCTTCAAAAGTAGCAACAATTGGTAAAGGTCATACCTATAGAAGTGTGTGCATTTAGAGAAGTTCCATTTGGCGAAAGTGGGTGAGTGAATTCATCGACGTATATAATTTTACAACAAAATCTACATCCAAAATAGGGTCAACAAGAGATTGGAACTTGCTGAAAAATTCTTAATAATTTAGCTAATTTTGTGACAATTTCAACACTCAACAGTAGGGTAGGATCATGTGGACAATAATATTTAAAGAATGAAGTTCAAAAGTTTGAAAAGAAGTTGAATGGAATAGCCATGGGAATGTCATCGAATTGTGACGTTTTGTCAAGAATAAGGCACGTCTCCTTGAAAAAGCCTTCATGAATACTAGTCCAAGTTTAAAAGAGGATTCTTATGTAATAGCTACACTCATATAACTTCTTATTTAGGATAGAGGGTCGTGCGGATGAACAAGATGTTAATGGTCCTTAATGATCTTGGCCTATAACAATTAGTTTTAGAAATGTTGCACTTATGTTAAAAAATTATTTATAATTTGTTCAAGTTCTCGTATATATTTTTTTAATTAATTAAAATTCTAAATTTTTTTTGTAAAGAATGTATTGCATAGTTGTAGTGTAATATCACACATCATAAAAGTAGTTTTTAAACATTTTTTACACGCCACACGAATGTAGTGTAGCACGAAAAGTCACAAAAGTTTTTTTCTAAAGTTCGTATAAAATAGGATTTAGTCTTTATGTTTAAAAAATTATTTTAAATGATTTTGAAAATGCATAAAAAATGAAGAAAATTGTGAAAATAAAAAGAACAAAATCGCAAAACTATCAAATATGGTACGAGGATGTGATGCACAACAATACATTCCTACCACACATAGAAGATATTGCTCCTTAAAGTGTCGTAGGGATTTTGTACAATAAGACACTCTTATCGTGTACAAATAAAATTTGTTTTTATTTTTAAGGATGTGTTGCAGATATGTGTGTGTTATAATATATCAAAAAATAACCTACACTTTATTTTTGATAATTTGTAACAATTTTATTCATCAAATCACTAAATTTTTGTTCTAATGGCTAGTAAGTTCTTAAGAATTACAAATATAATATAAATAAGAAATCAATGTCTGTTTAGTAGAGATTTAAAATAAGTTATTAGCTCTTAAGCCAATATTTACAATTTTTTTTTTTTAATTTGTTTATCTATTTAAAACGAGGAAATATTTGTAATCTTTATTCTTTTTTGAGAGAATTGTAAAAGAGTTAGAAGTATCTCTTAGAATGATCTTTTATAAATATTTTTGTAGGAAAAACAACTTACTTTACTAAGATAAACATCTTGTCTACTAACTTTTACAATAAAGATTAAAGAAAATAATCAAAAATTTCAAATGGATTGTTTAAAGAGAAAACGTAGGTACGAGATTGGTAGCTGAATCTCTGAAATTTAAGTTGCAAGTTGTGAATCACTTGTTACTTGTTTAACTAATTTGCTCTTGATTCCACAATTTTTCAATTTAAGATGTTTGAAAATTGAAAAACTCAATTTACTCCCTCTGGAGTTGCCATAAATAATTGTGTTAACACCTACTTTATGTATACCCTAATTTTTTTTAGAATAATTTTTGAATGAATTTTGAAATTATATCATATTATAGTTGTTACTATTATAGACCATAGCCTTAATCTACAACAGTCGCTTGAATATGTTCCAATTACATTAACCATACTCGATATGAACGAGACACAGAAAGATTTTCAAGAGAGAATCATCAAATTCCACTAATTTCCCTCATGTTGCACTAACTTACGTATTTGACAATTCCCA